ATCTCAGAAGCCCTTCCCATGGGGGCAGTCCCAGGTCCTTCAGGCCCAGAGGAATCAGTCTCACTCCCTTCATCTGCCATTTCACCTTCCAGTTTGTTCTGATCATCTTCATCCTTCCCCTCTCTCCCATCTTGCAGTGTTTCCAAGTCTCTTCGGCTGAATCCACAAAAGCCCTTGCTGATGTCTGGGGTCTCCAAGGTTCTGTTTACTGTCACTCAACTTCAGGCTCCTTGAAAGTTACATTTTCCAGACAGTCACACTTACACATGTTGGGTGGTTCTGTAGCACTGACTCGGGAGGGAGGAGGGAGACACGAGAAACAGTCAGAGGAGGGGCAGGAGGGACAGGACCAGAGAAATGTTGGGAGATAACAGAGTGGGCAGATGGAGGTGCTAGAGTTAAATTTTTGTATCAAGGTCATCCTGGTAGGAAGAAGGAAGGAGAGTTTGAATGGATTTTTTCCTGAAACCCCAGGGTCACAGTGAGTGAGGGGATCAGGTAAGGCCTCAAAGCAAAGGACAAAGGGAGGATATAAATTAGTAGTTCAACTGACAAACTTGAAAGGGACAAAGGGATTTTTGGTAGGAGGGACCTATCAAGAATTGCCATAGTGAGGGCTGGGGATTTAGCTCAGTGGTTTTGCCACTTGCTGTGCAAGCGCAAGGACCCGAGTTTGATCTCCAGTACCCCCCAAAAAAGAATTGCCATAATGAGATGGACTTCAAGCTGGTTCAAGAGCGTAAAAGCATCTACTTGAGATTGATCAGAGGAGTTTGGTACAGGACGTACTAACAGCCAATTAGAGGTTTAAAGCAAAGCCTGATCTGGGTTGTAGGACATGGCTTATCTATCAGCACTCTTGGAGCAGTTTCAGAATCTCAGGAAAAGCTTCCAACTTTATGTGGGGGGATGTGTACTTTGGAGCATGTGCTAAGGCCAACTGGCCAAGAGAAGAGTGAGCACAAGAAAGCCTCACAAACTGGGCCATGATGGTGCATGTCTGTAATCCCAGCACTGTGGGAAACTGATGCAGAATGATCATACCTTCAAGCCAAAATGGGCATGGTGCCACACCCTTGTACTCCCAGCACTTAGGTGGCTGAGGCAGGAGGATCGCCATGAGTTCAAGGCCAGCTATGTTCACTACATAGTGAGACCTTGTCTCAAAAAAAAAAAAAAAAAGATTATAAATTCAAACCCAGCCTGGGCAATTTAATGACACAGAAAGATGCTGTTTCAGTCAATAAATAAATTAGATAGACAGACAGACAGACAGACAGATAATAGATAGGGCTGGGGATGTAGTTCGGTGTGAAGGCCCTGAGTTCAATCCCAAGTACTGGGTGGGGGGAGCAAACCTAGCTGGGCATGCTGGATTACAGGTGTAATCCCAGCTACCCAGGAGGCTGAGGCAGGAGAATTACAAGTTAGATTCCAGTGTGGGAAACACAACAAGACCTCAAAAAAAAGTGCATATAAAGTATTCACCACAGTGTCAGGCTCATGGCTGATGTACGTGTGTGTGTGTGTGTGTGTGTGTGTGTGTGTGTATACATGCACACATGCCAGTACTGTGCTATGTGTTACCAATGTTATCAACTTTAATGGTAGGATCCTTCTAGGCACACCTTCCAATTTCCGTGTAATTAACAAATTTTGTCTAAACCAAAAAGGCTGGCCAATATGCCTGCTCCTGCGAACTGTTCACAATATAGGAAGAGCTGGACAACTTCTGCAGGGCCTAAGAGAAGGTACTAATTCTTCCCTAGGAGGCAAAAGGCAGATGTGGCAGAATACCACAAGTGCTGGCCAGACAGACTGACAAGGACCCAAGAAGCCTGATGAGATCCAGGATCAGGGTCTCAAGTCAGTCTCGCCTCCTTGGCGGTTGTGCTGCAGGCCCACCCAGCCCCTATCCCATGAAGGAAATGGGAAGCAAACAGGACTTCTGCGCTCCTGGAAGGCCGCCACCAGAGCCTGCCGGGCTGGGGTCAGCAAGGGTCAGCCAGGCCTTTGGGCTGGCAATCAGGGTGCTCTCACCAGGGAACAGAGATCCAGGAGTACAGCTGATGGGTGGCTTCCCAGGGTCCCTGCAGCCAGCCTCCCTGCTGCTGTCCTACCTAGGCTTGAACTGAAGGTGGCTGGGAGGAGCAGGAGCTAGGGATCATCTGACCCCTTTCCTGTGTGCTGTAATTCTACCAGAGTAGGCAGAGTGGACGCCCAGGCCAGTGCAGGATGGACCCTAGCCTCCCAGCCTGCTATTACCACTGGGGTATGAGTGGTGTCCATTCAAGTTGGGGAGACCAACAGGGTTTTTTTTTTGGTACCGGGGATCAAACTCAGGACTTTTCCCTTGCGAGGCAGGCAATGGAACCACTGAGCTACATTCCAGGTCCATGAATCCACTTATTTTTGGTACCAGGGATCGAACTCAGGACCTTGCATTTTTGAGGCTGGTGGTGGAACCACTGAGCTAAATCCTTGGCCCTGACAGTGTTGCTTTTATGAGGGCTCCTTAGCAGTGGGCCACACCTTCAAGCCATGGCACAGGAAGAGGAAAGGACTGTGGAGTCAACAGACGTGAGTTCAAGTCCCTGCTTTGCCATTTACTAATGGCACTCAGGGCCAGCTCTGGGAGCAATCTGTGCTCAGGTTCCTCACCTGTAAGTTACAGAAGGTGAAGATGAGTTCCTGACAGGACTCAGTGAGAATGATGAATGTGCAGTATTTTGCCCAGGTCTGGCAAACAGTAAGTACTTGAAAAATGTTAGCTAGTTTTCTTCTAATTAATTACCATAGTTTATGAGGTCCTCAAATGCATTGTGACTGAGCAGTTATACGAATTTCAGTCAGGAGCCAGGTGTCTTGGGACTGTAATCCCAGCAGTCATGAGGCTGAGGCAGGAGGATCACTGCAAGTTAAAGGCCAGTCTGGGCTATGTAGTGAGTTATAGGCCAACCTGAACTACATAGCAAGGCAAACAAACAAAAAATTCTAGTCAGGAGTGCTATAGGGCCCAGTATCAGACTGAATCTTGCCAAAATCTGGTGTGATGTACTGGTCCTGCTGCCACTCTGAGGATGTGGCCCCGGAGTGCCACAGAAGAGTTGGAATGTCCTTTGAGGCCACTGTGGAACCTCCCTTTCCCACAGCCACCTGGTGGCATAACTGGAAACGAGGCGGTCAGATGATCCAACTCCTGCACCCTCTTTGGCTTCTGTCCTGGCCAGGGTCCCTGAGGAGGAAGAGGGATGGGAACAGCTTTACCCACAGTGCCCCTCCTCCATCCCTGGGAAGCAGAGCAACACGATACCCAGGGCTGGGACCCAAACCTATGGAGATTTCCCTGGATTTCAGTTCTGACTGGTTGGACAAGGCTGGCCCTTGTGTGGGGATGCCACTCGGCATTTGGATTTCTCCCAGCAGAAAGTAGGAGGGAGTCAATTGCTCATGACAACCGACAGGGGAGCCAGCGGGAGACTCCAGACCCTCTCTTCTAGGGACATTAGCTCAAGAGCCCCCAGCAGTGTTAGCTTCGCTTCCCTCCAGCCCCCGCCCCATCACATCCTCCGCCCCAGGCATCTGTCTCCTCAGGAACAGCCTCTGTTCTGGTGTTTACCTGGGGAAGTGTGGCTGCTGGGTCTGGGGATTTCTTTGTTTGTGGGTCTTTCCTTGTCCCCAACCTGGCGGATGCCTGGGCTGGACTGTATATTTCCGGAGTTGCCTACTTGGATCATAGGCTTTTATTTTTAGAAGATTACAAATGAGGGGGTGGGGGGTGAAGATGGGGCGGGGGCAGGAATAGGAATGGAGGAAGAAGTTCAGCGATTTGAATCTGGTGAATTGGAACCGGAGTGCGGTTTAGGCACTAGGCGGAATAAGTGGGATGGTGGGAAAAAAACAAGGTGAAGAAGGAGGGGCATTTCACTCTCTCAGGGGCCTGAGGGCCCTGAGCAGGGCTGAGTCTTTACCCAGCTGGAGAGGGTGTGGAGGGGGCTGGGTCAAGGGTTGCCTCTCTGGCATGTAGCTGGGTCCCCGGGGAGGATGAGGAGCCTGGGAAAGAGACTGAGAAAGTTGCTCCCCTCCCCCTCCCTGGAGGCCTTGGGGACTGGGAGAGCAGCTTCCTGTGCAGAGGACTCATGTCCCCTGGGCTGGGGACGTCTTAACCCTTCAGGCACTGGTAACAGAAAGCAGAGAGCAACACATGTGAACACATGTTCTTGCATGCATGGCCTTTGCAAACACTGTGTCCCACTCAGATACAGCATTTCTCTTTTTCTGCCCTACTCAATATGATCATCCCTGCGCCCAGACCTCAAACCCCCAAACTGCCCAAAGTAGCAAGAATTAAGCTGATCCTGTGCAGTGAGGGAGAGAGGGACACTTCTCCTAGGCACGAGTGACATAGTATCTGTTTCTTCAGTATTAGGTGATGAGGGGACCCTAGCCAGAATTTAGGGCTTGTGTGGTTATGAAGCCCCCATCCTGCAATGAATGAGAAAGAGAAAACAAGTCTCAGAGAGATAGAGGGAGAGAGAGAGAGAGGCAGAGAGAGAGAGAGAGAGAGAGAGAGAGAGAGAGAGAGAGAGCGCGAGCCCGAGAGCACTTGAGGAATTTCTTAACTCTGAGCTTTGCTTTACATGCAACTTTTGAAAAACATGGTCTGGGCCAGGGATTTAGCTCAGTGGTTTCACTGCCTGCTGTGCAAGGGTAAGAACCCGAGTTCAATCCCCGGTACCAAAAAAAAAAAAAGTGAAAACCATGGTCTGGTCTGGTGCTGTGAGGAACAGAGAAAGGATGTCTTTTGGACCTTCACTCCCTGGAGTGCCCTAACCAAGGCAGCCCAGGCCCACAGACGCTGAACCTCAGGGCTCTCTTGCTGCTGTGTAAAGACAAGAAGCCATTTGCTTTCTCCACCCCTGAACAAGCGCTCCCAGCAGGGTATGGTGCATCCACTTGGCTTCCAATAAGCTTGTGATAAATGTAGACTAATGACCCACCTTGGCTTAAGGATGCCATGTCTTCTTCTTTCTCCAATTTCTCAAGAGTACTGGACTGGAAGTCAGAACTGGCCTGGGTTCAAGTTCTGGCTGATATTTACCAGTTGTGAAGCTTTGGACAAGTCACATTGGCCCTGCAACTTCAATCTCATTTATCTTTAAAATGGACATTAAAAATAAAACAATTACCTATGGTAACTACAGAAGCCTTTGTTTTTTGTTTTTGTTGTGCTGTCTGTGATACTGGGGATTAAACCCAGGGGCTCACACATGCTAAGCAAGCACTCTACCGTTGAGCTACATCCTCAGCCCTTTGCTTTTTTTTTTTTTTTTTTTAACAAGGCCTAGGTTTCATTGCTGTTTTTTCTTTTTGTTTTTGTTTAATTTGTCTGTTTGTTGAGATAGGATCTTGCTATTAGTTCAGGCTGGCCTCGAACTCATGGTGACCCTCCTACCTCAGCTTCCCAATTGCTGGGATTACAGGTATACATCCTCACCACACCTGGCCCTCAGCCCTTTTTATTTATTTTGTTTTCTTTTAAAACAAATCTTGGGCTGAGAATTTAGCTCAGTGGTTCCGTTGCCTGCCTTGCACATGCAAGGTCCCAAGTTTGATCCCCCGTACCAAAAAAAAAATTACACTGGGCCGGGGATTTAGCTCAGTGGTTCCGCTGCTTGCCTTGCAAGCTCAAGGACCCGAGTTCAATCCCCAGTACCAAAAAAGAAAAAGAAAAAGAAAACAGGGTCTCACTTTGTACTTCAGGCCGGCCTTGAACTCACTGTGTATGTAGCCGAGGGTGGTCTTCAACTCCTCCCTCAGCCTCCCAAGTGCTGAGATTACTGGTATGTGCCACCAAATCCCAACCCTTTGTAAACTCTTGTTTGTTTGTTTGAGACAGGGTCTTGCTATGTAGCTCAGGCTGGCTTCACACTCCTGGCAATCTTCCTGCCTCAACCTCCCACGTGCCGGGATTACAGGTGTGGGACACAATGCCTGGCAACCTTTGTAAACTCTAAAACTGACCTACTCCAGAGGCTGCAAGAGTGTGGAGTTTTTGAGGCTGAGGAGGCTTGGCTTGGTTGATGTGTGACCTTGGTAGTGTCTTAACCTCTCTAAGCCTCTGTTTTCTCATCTGCAAAATGAGGCTTCTAGTAATACCCACAGCAAAGGGTTACTGGGAGTGTACATGAGATAGTACACATAAATTTGCACAGGGCCTGGTGCAGGGTGTGCTCCATAAATAGTGGCTACTGTTCACTTTTACTCCCCTGATGAGCTCCTCCAGCAGCTTCCCACCCCCATCCTCCCACTGGGGTGGTTGTTGCACCCATACCTTCCTTGCATGAAGACGGATATTCACAGGTCTCTCCTTTGGCCTCATTTGGATGAAAATATATCTCTCCGAAGCTGCCTGCCTCCCAGCCCTGAGAGGAGACAGACCAGGAGCTGAAGGAGGGACACAGGCCTAGGGCACTGTGCAGTGACTGGTGGGGGGCCAAGGGCGGGGAATGAGGTCAGAGGCTGACCTGGCACTAACCCCCCAGACACTCAGGATCGTGTTGCTCAGCCTGTCAGGCCCGCACATGGATGCTGGGAGCTGCTTATCAGGTTAGAGCGGAGCTGCTGTCTCTAGCTGTCTCTGTGCATTACCCGACCCATCCGTCCCGGCTCTCCTGCGCGCCCTGCCTGCCCCCAGCTCTGCCTGCGCTAACTAGTTAATTGGATCTTGGCTAACCTGGTTATGGGCCAAGTCAGCCAGCTCCTTTGCCTCCAGAAGCGAGAGTGGGGGATGGGCAGAATCCTGTCCATAGACGTGCGTGAGCACGTGTGTCTGTGGGTAGGAGCCTGTCTTTAAACTCCGCTTCCAAGTCTCCAGGGATCCCCACGACCCATGGAGACTGGATCTTACAGCCTGAGGGGAGCCTGGAGCACCCTGCCCTACTGTGAGGCGGGGGCAGTTAGTCTTTTTTCCAAAGCCCAGCTCTGCCAATGTAGTCTATATGACACAGAATGAGGGTGGGGCTGAGCCTCGTCTTCCTCCTCTGTAAAATAGGGATTATAAAATGCATCACCTAGCCAGGTGTGGTGGTACATGCCTATAATAGCAGCACTCAGGGAGGCTGAGACAGGAGGATCATGAGTTGGAGTCCACCCTGGGCTGCAGAATGAGTTCCAGGCCACCCTGGACTATAGGCGCTAGACCCTATCTCAAAAAACAAATGAAAGGGCCGGGGATTTAGCTCAGCGGTTCGGCCGACTGCCTCGCAAGCGCAAGGTCCCGAGTTCCATCCCCGGTACCAAAACAACAACAAAAAGCCAAACAAAAAAGGAAACGTATCACCTAGGGTTGTTGTGTGTGAAGAGCAAGAGAAACAGAACATCCACATCGGTGCTCGGCAGGCACTTAGTAGGCACTCCGCTTACAACTGGTCGCCATCATCAATAGTCGCGCTGGGTTCCCGCCACTTCCGCTGGCTCCTGGGGTGGGGGCGGAAGGATCTCGGTGGGGGTGGAGAGGCTTTCATTCACTGTTCCTTGCAGGTGTTTCCTGGAGGCCGACTCCAATCTCCTCAATTGTTCCTTATGCAAATGTTATGCTAATGATTACATCAGCCTACCCCTGTGCCCAGCGCTGAGAAGGTAAAGGGTAGGCTGACTCCGCCTTTCACTCTGGCCAAGTCTGTTCCCTTCCTCTCCGGAAGTGGAGCCCATGCCCGTTCTCTCCTCACCAGACCTCAGGGCAGAGATGAGACCCCAGTGGAGAGAGGACAAAGAAAACCTCTAGTCTTGGTAGGAGAAGGACATCCTCGTCATCGCCATAATCAACATCAGAAAGGCCTTTGGAAACGTCAGACTCTTCCCCGCCCTGTGCCGGCTGCTCTGCAATTATGGAGGCCCAGCCCCCGGCTCTCCGAGCCAGAGCAGAGGGACGGTGGGGAGGAGTGGAGGAGGCAGAGCCACGGCTCTGTTCGTTAACAAGCAAGTGGCCATTCTTCTGGTTCTTGAGGCAGGTCCCGAGCTCAGGCCTCCCCTAGCTCCCCAACTCCAAATGGGCCTGGGCAGGGAGCTCACAATGAAGTGAGAAAACTGCAATTAAGGAAGAGATCACAGCTTTGCTTGCCCCCCCCACCCCGCTTTTACTGTCTTCACACTGGTTCGACTTCTTTTTGTCGTGTGTCCTCAGCTATAAAATGGGCCTAATAGTTCCTGCCCATCCAGGTTGCCGTGAGAATGAAGTTAATTTTGTAGGCTTCAGGAAAGTTGATCCTAACTGATGAATGGCATGACAGCAAAGAAAAGGGAATGCCCATCCCGGTTCTGTGGCCCACCCTAGCAAGGTGGTTCAGCGTAACTGCTCCCACCTTGCACTTGGTGGCTTGATGGTCCCTTTCCTGAACCAAGATAAGTGATAAGTGGTGTGTGCCCTTTCATCTAGGCGGGCTGAGGCTGGGCCTCCACTGAACATTTAACCTGCCCTCTGAGTTAAAGCTGAACAGCTGAACTTTAGTCTGCAGCGTCCATGTGGGTGACACTACAGGCACAAGGGCCGCAGCGGGCGAGGGGTGCTGAGGCCAAGGACCCAGCCTCCTGCTGTGCAGACATTGCCAGGGCTTTGTTTTACTGAAATGTCCAGGCCTGTAGACAGCTTTTCTGTGACCCTCCAATCCCTATAAAGAGGACTCCAGCCTTTGGTACCTACTCCAGGGCCGACCCAGCCCTCCAGATATAGTAGGTGCTCAATAAATTCAAGTTGGATGGACCAGAGGGAGAGCCCTGGGGACACTACCAAATAAATAACCAATTGTGCAAGCTGTAGGCCACTGTAATTAGACAGGAGGGTAGTCAATTATTAATATCAGACACCTAAGGGTGGGGCTAATGAAGAGTCACTTCCTGCACCCTCAGGGGCTTCCCATCCTGTGATTGGCCTTCTAAAAGGGCAGATGTGCACCAAGTGCTCTTTTTTTTTTTTTTTTTGTACTGGGGATTGAACTCAGAACCTTGCACTTGCAAAGCAGGCGCAGTGCCACTGAGCTAAATCCCCAGCCCTGCACCAAGTGCTCTTGATCCCTCAGGGCCCTGCTGCCCTCAGTGCCTGCTGGTCTCAGGTACTCTACAATTAGGGCCTGGGCCGCACCCTGTCCTGCCTCCTTCCTAGGACCCCACAGCACTTAACTGTCTCTCTTAGCTTGTGATGCCTATCAGTAATGGAGTCCAGTTAGGGAACCCAAGCCTCATCTCCCCTGTGGGATTCTAAACGCCCCCAAGGGTGGGATTTCTCCTGTGCCCACTGCTGTATCCCAGAGGTGGGGTACAGCAGAGCCCTTGTGCTGGGAGGGCTGCTTACTCCGGTGCTGCCTCGCTCACAAACTTGATTCTTTTCACAATTCTGGTCGTGAGCCGAGTTGCACGAGAACCTAATCAAATTCGGTGGTTAGGTTCAATGTTGACTTTACGAGGAAGTTTGATTCGGTTCTCATCCAGTTCTGTTTGTGACCAGAATAGTGGAAAGAATTGAGTTCGTGAACCAAGGTACCACATATGCTTGTTGAAATGGAGAATTCCAGTGAGAAGGAAAGGGGAAGTAGGAGTGGAAGAAAGGGAGAGAAAGAAGAGTCACAGAAAAAGAGACTAGTTCAAAAAAAGAGAGAGGAGGAGAGGGGAGAGAAGGAAGGAAGGGAAGGTGAAAGGGAAAGATAAAGGACAAACATCAAGGCAGCCATGTTTGTTCTCTGGTCCGGAGAACACAAGGCAACCTGGACGTGGGAGCATTTATTCTATTTCAAAAATAAGGTAACCACACAGTGAGCCCTGTTCTCCTGCCCCTGGTTGGCTGGCCCGGGTTGCATGTCCTTGGCCTGTCCCTCTCTCTGTCCTGCCAGCCCAAGCCCTCCTTACCAGCTCCCATTGGCAACCCGAGCCCGAGGAAGTGCTCTGGGCCCCATCCAGGGGGGCGGGGGCTGTGCAGGAGCCAAGCCAAGCCGGGGAGCACGGCCAGGAAGGAGTCAGCAAAGCAGATGCCGCCCCTCTCCTGCTGCCTTGATTAGAGAAATTGAGATGTTAATAATATTCCGAGATGCAAGGTGCTAATTAAAGTTAATTACTGTTTCCTTGTGAAGTAACCTCTCCCCGTGTTTACCAGGAACAAGGCTGCCAGCCGCTCCCCTGGCTTGTGCCAATCGAAATGCCCACTGCTCCACGTACCCTAGACCCTCACAGGTGCCCTCAGCTGGGCCAGCCTGGCCCAGGCAGGCACCAGGACCTGAAGTTCCCACGCCCTGCCTCTCGGCAAGGTATGCCCGGCAGGGGGTTGGGGGTCACTTGAATGTGAGTGACCCATAGGCCAGGGACAGGACCAATGGCCTCAGAGGCTGGCATCCTTTTCTCTGCCTGCTCCCTTCCTGCGAGTCTTGTTCTGTCTCTTTCCAGCTCCTTGACCTGGAGCAAGTTATTTAACCTCTTGGCACCTCGGTTTTTTCATCTGTAAATGGGGTTCATAATTCTTACCTTGAATTATTGTGAGCATCAAGTGGGACACTGCCTATAAAATGCTTACTTTAACCACATAGCTGGATTTAATAAGCTCTCAATTAAAGTTAACTGTGATTATTGTTGTCTTTGTTAATCATTTCCCTCCCAAAATCCCTCTCCTGTTTGGTCTGGCTGCAGGACAGGAGTGGGGCAGCTGAGTATATACCTGTCCTCAACAACCCCAGGCACACTGCACACGGACTCCCACACCCCATTCCCCTGTGAAGGGCCTTCCCCTTGGCACCCCAATGTATGCTCTCCCCATTTCCCCTCCCTGGTTTCTGCCTCCGTGGAGAAATAGAAGAGGAGGACACAACATTCTTATGAGTGGAGTTCTACAAAGCTCAAAGTGTGTGTGTGTGTTTGTGTGTGTGTGTGCATGCATGCACATGCCTGTGCATGTGTGCGCGTATCTCTACTCTTGTATTCCAGGCTTTACAGGGCTTTAGGGGAGAGGCCACCCCCTTGGAAATCCAAGCCCAGTTGCCATGACAACCACTGCAGGTGTGCACCTCCAACCCCTGCCCCCGCACACACAGCCACTCTGGCCAATTCTAGGGGAGACACAGCCTCTCTGATGAGCATCTCCCCACCTCCACAACAGGCTACTTTCCCTGTCCCTTACCTGCCTTATCAGGTAGAGCCTGGGCCTCTGGGTTGGGGAGAGGTCCAAGGGACCAGGCTGAGCCCAGTGAGCAATTACTCCCTCCCACCCAATTTCCTCCAGGCACTTAGAGCTAATGAGTTAATATTGCTGTCACCTTTGATTTGGGTGGATGAAGGCTCCAGAGGGGCCTCTCTGAATATAGCATAGATCAGTGATGGGGAACCTTTTAGAGCTTTCAGTGATAATAAACAGCCTCCTGTGGTACACATGCCATAGGTTCACCACCAGCAACATAGATAATCAAGAAGGAACCATAGATAATAAGGGTCAGGAACCCCACCTACCTTGGAGCACCTTCCCCAGCTAGAGGAGGACCCCTGGCTTTTTCTCTAAGGGCAGCTCTGGCTGCCCCGGCCTGGGCATTTCCTGTTTATGGGTTTACAAAGGCAAGAGCAGGGTACTTGGGCTGGACATCCAGCCCAGATATGGGGATAGAGTGATTTGGAGGCACGCTGCTGGGACCAGGGTCCTGGGAAATTAAGCCTCAGTTGGTCCTGGTAGCCCTGCATTCCATCTGCTCTGTCCCCAGGCCCCCATTTCAGGCTTACTCTTTTTTTTTTTCAGTATCGGGGATTGAACCCAGGGTCTTCACATTGAGCTACACCCCCCACCTCTTTTTAATATTATCATTATTTATTTTGAGACAGGGTCCTGCTGAGTCACTGCATTGCTCAGGCTGGGCTCGAATCTGTAATTCTCCTGCCTTAGCCTCCCAGAGTGCTGGGATTACAGGCATGTGCCCACCAGGCTTAGTCTTGCTGAGGGCAGACTGTCCTTGGCTCCCTGTACCATGCTTGATCATCTCCTCCTCCCCAATCCCTTGCCTCTACTCTAGCTCCTCTGGGGACCTGGGTCCCTCTCCCTGATGACCATGCCTCCGGGATTCCAGCTCTCTACATCCATCCCCTCTCTTCCCCAGTGCCCCTCCCATCCCTTCCCACCCACACTCTTCACCTCCCAAGGTGCCTTCCTCCTTCCCCCAAGTCCATCTCACCTACATCCTCACTCACCTACCCCCCTCTCTTGTTCTGGCTGCAGAATTCCTAAGCAGACCTCCTCTCATTCATTCACTGAACATTTTTGGTGGTAGTGAATAAGTTAAACAAGTTCTTGCCTTCTGCAAGCTTTTATTCTAGTGGGAAGAGACAAATTGAATGAGTAAACAGCAAAATGGTAGATTGGGGTAAGGTCAAGGACAAGGGCAAAGGCAGCCCAGGGACAGATGAAAGGGGACAACTTTTACTCCCCTACTTTGATAAGGAGTTGAGAGAGCATCATAGAGTAGCCTCCGGGGATCACCCACAGGGAAGAGGCGGAGATTTGGTAGATTCAGTTTCTCAGCTCATCTGTAAGTGTAGGCACAGAAGCCACTAGTGCCTGTCGCTATCCCCCATTCCCACTTGCTCAGATGGACATTTTCCTCCTCAGTCAACCGTGACAGAGGCAATCAGGGAGGCCCCACCCTCCTGCCCACCAGCCCCACCTCTGCCTCTGGCCCCAACTAACCAGATTTTCCAATTACTTGGATCTCCTGATTGCTGAGGATGAGGAATAAGGGCAGCAAGGCTTGAGAAATCTAAAGGGGGAAATGTGGGCTGGGGACATAGCACAGCAAAAATAAATAAATAAAGCAACAGAATGCAAGAGCAAGGAAAGACGTGAGCAGGTTAAAACACAGCCTAAAATCCATACAAACTCCTGCAGTTGCAAGAAATAAAAAATGCATGTGCTGGGAGAGTTTCAGAGGGATCTTGGCTAGGAAAGGGTTCATGGGTGCAGGTTTTGGGGGTTGGAAGGACAGAGGGCATCGGGCAGGTGGAACAGCTCCAAGTCATGTGGATTCATGCGCACACTCATAAACACAGCTCAGGGACTTTGCCCTTCTCAGTGCTGCAGCCCCATGAAATATTTAGGCTTCTGGACGATGCTCATCTCTTATTGTCCCCCTCAGCAAGTACACTTCCCCTACATCATTTATGTCTGTCCCCTTTCCTCCCCTCCCTCCCAGGCTGCAGAGAAGGGAAAAACAGACCCCAAGCTGGAGGAGGAGGCTGTCCTCCAATCCTGGGAGCAGGGGCCAGGATCTAAGCCTCACTCCCCACACTGCTTCTCCTCCCACAAGAGGCCACCCACTGAGCGGCCTCTGGAGCAAAGCAGGAGAATGGGTCTAGCTAGAAAGAGGTCATTTTGGCCTCCAAGAATGGGGAAACAGCTGGAGGAGGAGGGGATGTGGAAGATGCAGATGTTGGGGTTCCTGAAGGGCCATAGAGTCTGGACTGACCGTAAAAGCTGCCATTTATTGAGCCCTTACAACTTACTTTGCTAAGGAGTTTTCTCACATTATCACCTTAAATCCACACGACAAATTTGGGATATTTATTTATCTATGTAGGTCAGGCTGGCCTCAAACTCACAGCTACCCTCCTGCCTCAGCCACCTGAGTGTTGGGATTACAGGTGTGCACCACCATCCCTGGCTCCAAATTCAGTATTATCCCCATTTCATAGCTGGAAAAACTGATGCTTATAGAGTTTATACAGCTTGCCAAGGAGCAGACAGTACAATTCTAGGGGCCAAGGCCTCACATATTTGGCCTCTGCAACAATCTCTCAAGAGGGAAAAGGCTTAGATAGAAGCTCCATGCTTCTTTTGGGAGTCCTGCCAGGCTAGTGTCTGTCCTATTTCCTCTTCCTTCCCAGACCAGGCTCCTCCACATCCCAGGGGACCAGCTCCAGTCAGGACTCTCAAAGTTACCTGTTCATTAAATAA